TCATTAAATAATTTTATAATCATATAATAATTTACAAATTATCTTATTTTTGAATTTTATTTTCCCATTTAGTTGATCATATTATACACAAAAATGTCAAAAAATTACGTAACATAAAAAAAAATAGGTACAATTTTTCAACATTTGAGCCTTAGTTATTTTTTATGATATTATTAAATGTATTCGATGTTATGGTATTTCCAGAGCTCATTGAGCAATAAGAGTACGGACCCAAGGATCTCATTATGCTACTTGCAGGCATTTAAACAATATCCGGAAGAAATTTTGAGACAGTCTTTTAGTACTCTTAAGGACTCTGGTATAATAACATGCAGCCAATACCACAAGGAGTCACTTCAGATCTTACTATCAACTTCACACATTATCCAGTCAAGAACTTATGATTATGGTCCAAAGTATGTATTCTACTCTAACCTAACTATGCAGCATATTTATCTTTGTTCTAGTAGACTAGATTTTGTTTATTATTATTAAGGTTAGAAAAGTTAGGAAATCATTGTATTTATGAAATTGATTATCATCATAAATATGAAAATTATACTTAACTATGCTAAAAAATAATAAAAAAGGGTAATAGAAAAATATCCCACTAAATAAAATTTCTATTCAATATTATTAACTTAAACAAAGTGATGGATTCTAAAATTTTTGTCACCTAGTATTTTTTCCAAGAACAGATGAAAATCGATTTTTTTAATTATACAGAAAAGAATACTTTCACTAGCAGGAATAGGCAACTTAAAATTTACTAGAAGGCCAATTTTTAGAAAATTAAAATTGAGCAGGCCAGTGCATAAAAATCAAAAAAAAGTCATTTTAATTAGCAAATTAGCATTTATTTTGTTTATAATGTGAATTTTTTAACTTAAAAATATTGTATGATGCAATTTAAAAATGTAATACAAAATATGTACAAAATTGTATTAAAAAAATGAATGAATAAATTCTTATCATAGCTTTCTTAACAAAATAATAGAGTTTGAACGAACAAAAAAAAAACTATACAAAATAACTCCAGAATCACAGTTATTATTATTTATTTTTGACAATCAATAAATCTTTTAACTAAAGGTTTTATTCAACATTAATCGGCAACAAAGATGTAGGTCGTTACAAAGGTGCGTTTATTGCATATTCAAATATCAAAGAAGATCTTTCCGAGCGCAAGATTTTGTTACTGCACCCTTCATGTGGCCTGTGCACAGCACTCACCAGTTTATCATTGACAAATATTATAGATATTTCCATCGAGTTTGATAAAAAGGCAAGTAAACTTATTTTTACTTTACATATTATATTGTATACAAATTAAGATATATATTTTGAAGAATATGTTCTCAACATTTTAAATTGTTATTTTTATATACTTTGGATTTTAGAGAATAAAATTAAATTTCAACTTTTTCTTCAAATTGAAACCGATTTAAAAAGAATGAATAATTATATGTTGATAATACATTTGTAAATTATTAAGATAAAAATGTTCTTAAAATAAATGTATCTAGTTAAAGGGTGTTAACAAATATTTATAATAGTAATTATAGTAATTTTTGTATATTTATGAAAATGTAATTTATATAAAATTAATTTTGGTTGATAAAAAAAAAAAAAAACAATTAAAAAATTATATCCTGGATTAGATTATTATTTTTTCTTACATTTGGATGTTTTGAAAAAATTTCTATTTTTTGTTTTCTGCTTACAGTACTTGGAATATATGCCAGATGAAAATTTAGACCAAGCATCTAAGTGCTTAAAAAACACTCTAAAACGGTAATTATTATTTACTCTTATTTAACTATAATATATCTAATTTTGCATTTATACTTTTGTTTTATTAACTAGATTTGTTTTTAAATATTTTATCTGTATTTAATATCATTAAAAATGTTTGTTTTTATAGTATGAGAAGTCGTCATTTTGATTTACTATCAACCAGTAATGATTCGGTTGAATACATTAAAATAATAACTTCTATCACAAAACAGTTAAAAAATTATGAGGTTAAGTGTTATTTTATTAACAAATAATATTTAAATATATTATCATAATATTAATAATTTAATTCTTTGTGTTTCTAATTTTAGGTTATTTGTAAACTAAAACAATCTCTACAAAATATAGAAGAGGAAATTGATTTAGTAACGCAACTAATTTTCTGGTAGGTGATGAATTTGGATTTTATATTTTTGTACATACCCATTACTCTCGTACCAAGATATAATATTATTTACATTATGTTTATCAGTCAACCAACATTCACACCTCAACTTGAATATCTCACAACCGGACTAAGTGAATTATGTATGCAGATTCTCAAGTTCTGCCATACTAAGGGACAATGTGGTGCTTCACTACGAGAAATCAAAGTAAGCGATAGTTAAATTTTTACACAAAATACAATTAAGGTAATACATTCTTCTACTGTTCTGTCTAAGTATAATTTTTTTTATTTACTTACAAACAGAAAAACTTTGAAGATTTGTCTCTGTTTGTTCTTGCAACGTCTGTGCGATATTTAACTGATAAAGACCTGTTATTAAGAGCTGGCATCGAAACACCAGTGTATGTACATCATCAATACACGGACTTGTGGCTTGTGAAAATACCAAGTGAAAATTGGTCCAGTGCTGTTAATTATGACACAATCATGGAAGATGATAATTTATTACATTTAGAGTGAGTCATTGTATATTTGCTATGTAATACATTAATTTACAGATTAATAATTAAATACATTTTATTTAATAATTATTTTTATTTTTAGGTCAGATTCTGATGATAGAGATTCAATACTCCCACCGCCCAAAAGGATGCGTGAAGAGCATCCAATAAAGTAAGTAGTATTCATATTCTGACTAATCTGACTATTATTGTTTATGAATACTTATCATCAAATACAATATTTAGAACAAATGCAAATACTGATACCTTTTATCGCATAAAAATTCGTCCTTGGACCCGACTGAATTTAACTATCAACAAAGAACTTTTGGAGAAGTTTTTGAACTCTGTTCTAACAAAAATAATTGTCAAACCCGGCATTTACCTGAAAACCCTGAAAAAAGATTATTGCGCCATCTTACAGCCAATGGTCGTTAGAGAACTTGTAGAAGTATTGAATACCATTAATAAATATTATTTATATTTTTTTTTCATTATTTAATAATACATTTTTATTTTATTTTAATAGATGCTCGAAGCTATGAAGTGTATAAAAATGATTCACATAAAAAATATATGCAGACCTTCATTTTTTTCCAATCCATCACCATCAAACCATAATTTAGTGTTTTGTAAGTAAAAATTTTGTATTGAATCAATTTTAATAATTAAAAGATCTAAGGTTCTTACAAGAATATTTTAGGAGTTATTTTATACTGTCCATACAATTAGAATACTTTTTATATTATTATAATTATTTATTTAAAATTTGACAATTTACAATCTGTACAATAAGCAAATTTTATAGAAGTAAGGAATCAAAAAGCATGAGTGAAGTCAGCCCAGTAGCGGCACCCCAAAGAATATTTTTAAATCATTTAAGTTACTGTTCATCACATAATTATATAATATATATTATTTTCACTATTTTATTTTTATGAAATAATCATAACAACTATTTCAAATTAGTTCACTAAACGATACTAATTTAAGTTCTCACAAATATTTTTTATGAAAAATCTTATCGATTTTGAAAATAAATTAATTTTCCAAGAATAATATAATCATAAATCATAATCAATAAAAATAAATCAAACATATTTTTTTTTATAAATGGCGCCTTTATGTATTTATTATTTAGTATGCTAAAAGAGTAAATTCAAATATTTAGAATATTTTTTCTAGATTACAAAAATCCCATATACTTCACTTCTTCAGATTTAATACTTTTTGTGGCTTCAAAACAAATAAATAGAAAAAATTTTCAGCCTAATTTTAATATTTAAAAACATTCTAACCAAAATAATAAGTATCATGAAATAAAAAATTTTCCTTCCTAAAATGGAAACATATGTTGACAATAGTCACAAATCACAATATCGGATGTTGAAGAGTATCATATTTCAACTAGCTAAAAATTTATTTGTCAGTAATTCTATTTTTTGGAAAAGAGTTTTAAACTTAGCTTTGCAATTAAATGTTGACAATTTAAGTTCAACGATTGAGTGGTTGACAAATTATTAAACAGTCTTTTATTATCAAGTATATTAATAAAGAATGATTAAAAAAAAAAATATATATATATATTTTTAATCTACTAGTTAATTTTAATCAAAAATAAACTGATATTACATTCTTTAAGCAAAACTCACTGTATTATATTACATGAATGACTGAATTTACATAACTTATATACTTTAAAATTGTTTTATAAAATGAAATAACATTGTTTAAGTATAAATATTTATATTAATTTTAATTAATTACAAATATTGTTTTACAGCTGATGTGAAGGGATTGGAAGATGACTCATTAATAATACTGGAGCCGACTTTTGATTGCGAAATCAGATTTGGATATTTTTCGAACAAATTTGGTGATTATGTTAACTAGATTAATATAATAAATGTCAAGTGTTTTTCTAATTTTAATAAAAATTATTCTTAATAAAAACAAAAAACATAGCATTTTTAAAAATTTTTTTTATTGACTATTTTTATATAATTTACAAATTTTTAATAATTAATAAGAGATTAGTGAAAGATATAAAATGGTTGAATACATTTTATTGTAAATAGATTTTATAAATAACAAAATGTAAAATAATAACGATTAATTAATCTGTAAATAAAATTTTATTTTCTGTGTATACTTTTTCATCATCAACTGTTTTGATAAACCTTACACATAAAACTCAAGGAGTTCAAATAAGTTTGTTTTAAATGTCAATGTATTTATAAATACATATAAAAATGCTTTAAAAGATTTAATTTCAAAATAATGACAAACTCAAGTAAACATCATCAAATTATTAAAATAATATTTAAACATAGATTTATTTACATTAATGAAGAGTTTATAATAAAATATACTTATTAAAAACAAATGGTCAACATCATGGCAAATTTATGTCTTGCCACTACAAAGAGTGTCAAAAAGTTCTGTTTTTTTTTCACTTTCGTTGTATGTTTTCATGTACTTTTTCAATTCTGCTGTAGCTTTGTTAATACTAAAACAAAATATTATAATTTATAAATATTAAACAATTGACTATATTTATTTTAGTGATTTTGAATAAAATATTTTTATATTAATTGATTCAGATATCCTAACAACATCAATAATTGTGCATGAATTGATAATATGCAAATTGCAGTGTCTAGTGGATGTCTCTCAGATAAAACTATTGTTTACATGCAAGAATTTTAAGTTGAGATCCACTAGTTGATTCATTAATATATTTTCTTCAAAATCATAGTACCTCATTAAAAACTATTTAAAAATAGATTTATAAAAAACTAACACTTTATAGTTTTTTAAGGAAAAACATTGCTTTCCAAATTCAATTTACTTATTAAAAATATGTATTCATATACAGTAGTCACTCGATAATTCAAACCTCCATAATTTGAAAAACTTGATAAATTGAACTTAATACTTGATCCCCTGAGAAAATCTCTATAGTTAAAAAAAAAATACATGTATTTTCGTCCCCTCGATAATTCAAAATTTCTGTCGGTGGAAGATACTCTTCTACAATTCCCAAACAATTTTCCCAGCATCAATCATCCAAATTTCTTGTATCTGAAGAAAATCGTTCAAAAATTTTTGGCCTGCATGAGTGACGTTCCATGTAAAATTTCTATACTCACTGCTATAAAAATGTTACTTAAAGCATAAGAAAATGAAAGTGCAGGAACCATTGTGAATTACTTCAGAACTTGTGGTTTTATTAAGGATGAACAGAACATTGACAGAGATATTTCTATATAAGGTGAAAAGATTGAGGTCTGCTGAGCACAAGCAACAGATTTGAAGTTGTTGTATCACTTAAAGAATTTGTTCACTTCAATGATAATGTTGGAACTACTAATACTTTAAATGACAAGGAAATTTTACAATCTACTTTGGCCAATCAACAAAATTCTGACAGTGATGATAGAGAAGAATTTCCTATCCAATGCTAGCCTAATGGGGTTATCAGGAACCGGTGCAGAATTTTGTAGGACCCCATATGTATTAATGTATTAATTATTGATAAATATCTATATTTACTTTTTTTTTTTAAAGGACTTACTTTATTTTTATATAATTTTGTACCGTCATTAATGATAAATAATTTTACAAATATATGCATGTAATTGTTACATATAATTCACGTACTACTGGGACAATATTATTATGTTTATTTACAGATTTAAGTAATATTCGTATTACATAAATTGTGGGGCATCCACAAGCGCGAGGCCTGGTGCAGTCGCACTGTTCCCCCCCCCCTCCCCTAGTCCCAGCACTGTTCCTATCATATTCTCAAAATAAGCTAGATAAAGTTATGAACCAGACTGTAGCTAACAATTTATCGCGAAAAAAAAAATAACAAATTTTTTAATAACATATAATAACTGTATACATAAATAATAAATACAATATATGTATGTAATAAAATGTTTCACCTCTTTTTAATTTGAATTATTAATTTTAATTCAAACACTAAGTAAATAAAAAACCTCAGTAAATCAAATTTTTAGCTTGATCCCCTGAATTTCGAATTAAAAAGAGACTGTAGTATAATAAAATCTTTAAAATAAATCACAACATATGAAAATGTTGCCAATAAAAAATATATAATTCATGAAATATACTATTTTTATTACTATTATTTTATATTCAAGATTTTGCTGGGAGAATTTTGCTGCTACAGTTGCCAAAACCAATTCTATATCCATTTCCTTGACAAAATCCTGATATTGTTACTTCGTCTCCATCTTCAAAAAATTTCAATTTTCTTTCACCCAGATCTACAAATACCTTTCCTCCAAGATTTTTCTCTACTAAACAAGCACGCTGTTCCTCTTCAGGACCACTAATTGTTCCAGATGACAATAAATCACCCGGTTGCAAATTGCAGCCAGTAATGGTATGATGAGCAATTTGTTGTAATGGAGTCCAGTACATATATTTGTAGTTGGTATTACAGATGGAATAAGTTTTCTGTGATTTTGGATCACGCAGAGTTGCATTTAAATTTATGTCAAAATTATACTTAACATCGTGCTGTAAATACTTTAATGGAGCTGGATCTTGTTTAAAGTTGTCTGTTTTGAATTCTTCTAAAGCTTCCATTGTCACTATCCAGGGTGAAATAGTTGAGATAAAATTTTTGGAGAGGAATGGTCCAAGGAAAAATGATTCCCACAGCTGTGTGTCTCTGGCACTCCAATCATTCAATAGAACCATACCAAAAATATGATCTGAAGCTTTGCTGATTGGTATCGGTTCACCCAAAGAATTCAATTTACCACCCACAAAAAATGCCATTTCTAATTCATAATCTAACATTTCTGTAGGACCAAATGTCACTTTTTCATCTTTTAAATACTGTCCAAATGGACGAATAATTGGCGTACCAGATATTCTAATTGATGATGATCGACCATGATACGCAACTGGCATGTTTTTCCAATTATCTGCTATAGGTTTCTCAGGAGTGAAGAGAGTACCACAATTGTAAGCATGATAATAGGATGAAAAAAAATCTGTATAATCACCTATTGAAACAGGCAAATGCATTTGAACTTCATTTTGATCCCAGAATACGCCGTTTTCCAAATTCTTAGAGTTTTCAATACTTAGATAAGATTGAATCGACTTGCGTGCTTGAGACCATGTTTTCTTATTTGAAGCCATTAAGCTTTCAAGTGACGACTGTTGAAATATTTCGTATAAAGGATGATCAAAAACATTTTTGGAATATTTTAAATCCAAAATTTTATCACCAATAGCAACTCCTATTCGATGAGTTGAATCGTCAACAGTTGAAAATACACCATATGGAAGATTTTCTAATGGAAAATGTGATTCACTAGAGTACGATATATAACTTTTCATAGGCATGTTGATATAGTTTTATTTTATAATAATAAAATTTAAAATTATAAACACTGCAATCACTGTCAACTGAATACTAATTGATGATAACTGATATTTTTTCCATATAAATGAATGTTCTTATCATTATGTAACCAAGTTGGTTAATAAAAAAAAAAACAGAATCTAAGGTCAAAATTGATAACCAATGCGATAACAAATTTTTTTTAAATAAAAAATCAAAGTTAAATATTGTTTTACTTTTTTTATGTTGATATTACATTGAATTAGATACTTTGAAGTGTTTAATTTCAAAATAATAACATAAACTGATGTAAGTGTTAATTTTATAAATGTATGTAACCTCTAATGCACTGAAGGTTAAACAAATAAATTTAATTAGTTAGAAGTATATTACGTTAAATTAATTTTTTTAAATATGAGATGTAGAGGTAGATATTGCCTATAAGGCATAACTCTTGGTGCCCCTACCCCCCTCCAATAATAGGCAATGCAACTTTATGTTTTTAAAGAATTTTATTAAAAATAATATTTATATTTATGTAATACTTTATGTATACTTATTATAAATAACTAGCTGTTCCCGCACAGCGTTGCTTATGAAAAGAATTGCAAGTCAAATATCTTTTAAATTTTTATTTTTGTTGCTAAACATAATAATATGTATTGAATAAAAAATAATTTTAAATGTATAGAACAAAATTTATAAATTATGTCAGTATGTTTATAATAATTCAAAGATTTAAACAATTTCTTTGAAAATGATGTTGTTGACTTCTTCCAGATAGTGGGCAAAAATGTAGAAAAATGGGCACTTAATACTGTGATTTAAAATCAAAACTCTTTCTACTAAATTATATTTAAGTGCCACTGTACCAGAAGGTATTCTGTATGCAGTAGTAATTTAATAGCTATTTAAATAGCAATATACTCTTATACTCAATATAGTCTCTTAGGCAAAAACATAAATTTATTATAAAAATATTATTAATCAAGTTGAACAAATAAATCAAACGTATAAAATTTCATTAGTTAATTACCTATCCAACAGTAAAAACTGCATAAAAATCCATTCAACCATTTCTGACTTCAAAAAAAGCTACTTCATTTTATACTATGTATTGATTGATAAATTAATAAAATAAGAGTTAGAATACTGATACTAAAATTATTTTAAATTTTAAACATCTGATTGTGTGTAAACTTGATAAATACAAAAATATATATCTATTATGTTCAACCGATTTGTTATGTAATTGTTGGCATAGTGTGTGGTATGGTATTTGTGCAATTTTTATGTATAGTGCTTAAAATATGTAAAAAGTATCTATATCTCTCAATTAGATTATTCATATTTTTACTATAAGAATGTTTAATAATCAAGATTAATTTTTTCAACCTATGTCCTTTTCTAAAACCTAGTATTTGCTTTACATCATTTAATAAGTTATTTAATACTTACATAAGTATGTCCTTGCCAAATTCTTCTAGGAATTCAACTTTACGTTGAGCAAAAATAACTTGTTGTTCGACATCAATAGACTTCATGACTAAGATGCTATCAATCAGTTTAACTACCGCAGGAATATTCATAGGATTGTCACTCATTTTGATTTCAATTAATTGTAACAGAAGACGACTACTTTTTTGAACATTCTATAGTAAAAAAGGAAAAATGTTTTATAAATGAAATAATATTCAATAACTAATATTATACTAACATTGATTTTTTCTACTTCAGCTAACAAAATTTTAGAAGCTCGATCACTGTTGTGTAACATCTAAAAAGATTAATTTTAAATGAATATTTTATATAGTTTATTACAATGTTTTGTTTTTAAATTCTTACTTTCCAAACAAATCGAGCATATTTTACTGTCAACAAAATAGAAGTTAATGAAGAGTTTGCTGTACTAATGTAATGTTCATATAACTCGCATACTCTATCATTACAATTTCTTCGTCTTTCTAAATTAATCCTTCTTTGTATAATCAACTTTTTGTCAGGAGATACACTGTCTAACATATCTAAAATTTGAGCTGCTTTATCATATTGTCCTAAAACAATAAAAGTTGTTAAAAATAATTATATATATGTATGAGATATAAATATTAACAGAATATTATATGAAACTTAGTCACCATTTTTTTCTAAATGTAGAGCCCATGTTAAATTAATACTAGGTTTATTCTTATGATGAACAGTGCATGCTCTGATGTATATGTCCTCTATACGGTCTTTAACTTCCTGGTCATCAGATTCAAGACTTTCCAAATAACCTACATACTATAGGAAAAATCATTAATTATATTTTTAGATAGAAATTATTCCATTGAATGATTATTACCTTAGTCCAAAATTCTTCATATAAAGCACAAGCAATTAAACACCTTTCGAATAACACCACGATGCGTTTGTATGAACCATGACTAATTTCAAATTCTAAATATTCTTTCCAGTTCCTAATTTGAGATCTTTCTAAAGGTTTTACATGAAAGTATGGCCGTTTAATCTAAAATATAAAAAAAAATTAAACTAGTTTTATTAAGTAAGTTAAGTAAAATAAGTGTATAACTGACCATTTCTTCATAGGGTAATCGTAATGCAACCATTTCTGCTGTGTGCTTATGTATTTCAATACGCGATGATATCATTTTATCTTTCATTAAATTTTCTTCTTTGGTTCGCTAAAAAAAAATAAAATAAAATATACAAAATTAGTCATTTTACTGAATGAATTCATTTTTTAGATTACTTGTTCTATAGGATCGGCCATGTCATCAGAGTCAGAACCAGAATCAATTTTTCTACCATGTGCTTTTTTAGCCTCAGCTTCCTTAATCTCAGCTAATACTTCCTTCCTTAACTCTAAAAATTTAACAGCTTCCAAAATTTTGTTTTTAGGATACTTTTTTACAAAGTCTTTGAAACTAGAAAAAAAATAAAATAAAAAATGTTTGTTAATTTCAAATATTGAATAAATACTACCATTCAAAATTATTTAAAAACCCATGAGTTGGAGTAGCAATTAGACGTTCATAAATATCTGTCACTCTTGAATATTGTTTACATTCCAATTCAAATTTAATATAATGATCCCATAAACGATCCGATCTAAATCATATAATTTCTATAATTATTACATTCATTTTTTAAAATTTTAATTTAAAATATATATTTACCGAAATTCAATTCCACAAGCTTCTACCGCCCTTTCAAATTGTTCCCTTATCATGTCTTCATCATCTGGATATGCTGATTTCATATAACCCATATAATGAATCCATAAGTCAACACTCAATGGTATAGCTTTTAAACCACGGTCAAATACCTGTACACAATTTAAAACAAACAAATTATTTAAACTGAATATAATAATAACAATCTTGAGTTTACTTAAATATTATATAATCATGCCTTTAACAAAAGGATTTAAAATGTGTTTATCTAATACATATACAAATAACCTTATGACTAGTTTTATAAATCACCGCTTACCCAAAATATATCCAAAACAGCTCTTGGCGTGTGTCGAAATGCCGGATTATGTTTTCTTATCATTAAATTAAATTTAACAAATATTTAACTTAATTAATAAAAAAATAAATCAATAAATAGCTCTAATAATAATAACAATAATCACAATGATTCATCTTAATTACTTAATTATAATATAAAATACATTAACTTAATACATAATTATTTGTATTACACCTAATAATTATTTAAAACCACACCATATTATTTAATTAACAAATACAGTATACAAATTAATGATATTTAAAAAAATATTTTCACACTTTTTAGTGAAATTCGTGCTTTTTTGGGCCACGGTGGAGCGTGCAGTGTTTTGTGCTTTATCCAGCAGCAACCTGATGAGAAATATCTAGACCAAAATCATGTTAAATAGTTATAAAGAAATCTTTGAAGAATTTTTACTAAAAGGGAAATATATTTTGGACAAAGGATAAAATCAATCACAACACCTGAAAAGTTGAGAATATTATACAAAAACATTAACTATAATTATAAAAAAAACAATACAAAAAAAACAAGTAACTCTTTAGTATTTTATTAGCAAAATTATTAATACTAAAATGATGTTAAAAAACTGTTAGCTTGGTTTATATGTTTTGTGTAATGTGTATTTGAATAGTGTTGGCGTTTTTGAAAATAATAACCACATTGAGACTAATATTAAGATGTAGAAACTTCAGCTGACTTCATAATTGTATCTTCATTTTTTTATCAAAAAAACATATATATTTAATTTGAATTTATAATTTAATAACTTTCACAATTATTAATATAAAAATTGTAATTTGAATACAAACTTTATTAACATACTGAATAGTTATTACAATGCTCAATTGTTATATTAAAAATATAAGTTATATAAAATAACTACCACTACAATAATTAACAATCAAAAATGCATATTTTAATGGTAAACAATTGATTGTGTCAAACAGTAATTATAATATAATTCAAAGATTTAAATGTTAATTAAATAATTATTAACTACCAACAATCTATGGTCATAAAAATTAATGCTTGAGCATCTTGAATACTCTTCTCTTTATGGTGTTTAAAATAAATAAACAATAAGACAATTTTTGCATTAAAAAAAAAAAAAAAAAAAATTGATACATTCATTTATGTAATAATTACTAATAACAATCCTATATGATATATTTACTTATTAATTATTATTATAATCATTAATCTTATATATTTTATACATTTAAAAAACATATACTATGCATGTAATTCATGTAATTATACAACTATACAATAATAGTTAAAATTTAAAAATCAATATGATCTTAGATCTTCTTCTTAGTTGTACTTTTTTTATTCTTAGTGGTATTATCAATCACAACACAAACGTGCATAAAAAAATGAATAATACAAAATTATTCAAAATAATATTGTTGTTAACTGGCAGTAATAATACTGATGAGAACAATATTTTAAATTTATATTTAATTATGTATCCCGCAAACAATATTTAACATTCTTTGACCATTTCAGTTATTTGTTTTCAGATTAAATTTAAAATTATCTGATATCCAATCAATTGATAAAAAAAAAATGTTGAACTTACTTTTTCACAGTTTTCTCTAGTTCCATTTTTTCTTTCGTAGTCTGCATATTTTCTCCAGTAACCATAACAATATGGATATAAATCTAAAAAGGCATCATAAGCTTCACGTGCTGCTTCAATATTTTTCTGAAAACAATAAAAATAAATAATAGAATTTGTATAAGTAACTTGATTGAATTTTAAAGATAAACTTTATAAATGTACCGCTCCATCAACATATTGTAATAAGTAGGTCCAACCAATAAAGTCAGATGGATCATCACGCACAGTTTGCCAAAACTTATCAAGTTCTCTAAGTTTTTTGGATTCTTTTTCTTTATCACTCTAATAAAATAAATTAATATTCATGTTAACAAATCGTACAAAAGTATATAATAACAATCTAATTAAATAATAGACATACAATTTTTGATCTTTTCTTCAATGAACTATCTTTGCTTGACCTATCTTTACTTGGTGTTCTTGAACGTTTTTTGTCAACTCTTTTAGAATCTTCTTTTCTTGATCGATCTTTAGATTTAGAATCTAGAAAATAAAAAGTTAAAATAAACAAAATATTTAAAACAAAAATTTAAGAAAAATAAATTGTAATAAACCCTTTTCAATACACTCTCGTGTTATACATGAATTTTAGTCCTTTAGAAGTATTAAGTTAAAAAAAAAAAAAATTAAATAATTCTTAAATTGTGTGTATGGTATACATTAATATTTAATAATAATTAAGTGAGTGTGGCTTGGCGTGGCGCGTTGGATGCTACCTATCTGGGCTCATAGTGGGAAAAAAAAATTATAATAATTAAGTGATGAATAATAATACAATACAAAATAAGGTATTATTTAATTCAAATGATAAAATTTACAGATAAAACCTCCAAATTGACTATGAAATGCTTAGTAAATTTGAAATATTATTATTATTCAACTTATATTATAAATTTACAGTGAAACAATGAATGTATTTATTTTACGATAATATACTTATATTTTTTATTTTTTTCTATCACCACATTTTTGGGACACAATTTAAAAAACTTGAAATTTAAACTTGAATGATTTCTAGTAGTCAATTGAATCTAGTTAGTGTCATATTTTTTTTTTTTTTTTTGTAATTAGAAATTCATAAAAATAATTTGTTTTATATCTAAGTTTTGAAAATTAAATACAATATTCTTCATAAGTGATTTTTATTGAAACCATCAAATCTAATAAATATTTAAAGACAATTATTTTCTATAAACAAAGTTCAAATTTAGACAAAATTACTTATTTAAATGATAAATAATAACAATGTTAATTATTACGGAAACTTAAAACTTTTACCTATATTATAAAATTATGAATTTAATAAAATTATGCACAATATTTTTGATAATTTTAACTATTTATATGATGAATTTATTTTTACTGTTTTACAGTATTTACAGAAAGATTAAATTAATTTTTGAGTTAAATGCATTAATATAGGATGGTAAAAATATATATTAAAATTAAAATTAAATAATACTGATAATATCATAAAAGCAATATTTTCAGAAAATTTACATACTTATGATATGGGTTAACAGACCGTTTCTGCTCAGAATCAATTTTTGTATACAATAATATTTATCATTGAATTAAAATTTAACAAAACCATAATAGTAACCCATTTGACATCTATTGTATAGTTGAGTGGTACCCACTTGCCTACCTTTTTTATAATAAGAATAAAGTAGAGGTACATAGTTTATTGATTGTTTAGTTTAGATTAACTTGTATTTAAGTTTAAAACATTTAAGTGTGCATATTAAACATTACCTAATGTATGGCATAGTCATATCCATTTATTAACATTAACCATTATTTATCTGGCCTACCTTTTTATAGACATAATCATTATTGTATTTCATCATTTAATTAAAATTTGATTAGTCCATTACAGCAACCTACTAAATAGCTTAAAATCTACTATATAACAAAGCAACTTTTTTTTTTTTAATAGCTTATAATTTAAATGTTACTAGTCAATTATAAAGTAATTTAAAGAATTCACTTAATATTTAAATATAATCATTAAATTGGCTAGTTTATTGATGTTGGAGGCTTAAGAGCCAAACATATGAACTCTCAAGTATGTTTGGGTATCTAGTCTCCACATTACAACATTATACATATTGGTCAAGATCAAAAAATATATTGCTAAATCTATTATTTATTGATATTAATTAATAACAAGAGCTGTAATATTATATTTAATTATAAGTTAAATAAAATAATAAAAAAATATATTTATCATAGACCTATACTGATAGTTAAACTTTGTCTAAAAAAATAGCTGAATTAGTTACTGGTTAAACATAAATTAGAGGTAAATTCTTTAATGATATATCTAACCATTATAATAAGCCTATATAATATATATACATATTACATATACAATATGATTGGCATTAAAAATCAAATAGGTACCATACAATAACCAGGGTAGTTATAAATTCATAACATGAAATAATTGTTCATAAATTGCTTTTAAAAAATTAAAAATACTTAATAACTATTTCATCTATTTATAAATGTTAAATTATTTATGCCTTGTAATCTACCAGATATAATAGATGGTACTAGAGAGATCAATTTTTAAAAAATTTTATAATTTTAATAGAGATTGCAGTAAAACAAGAAAATTTGCCATAAATTATTATTGCTATTATTCACAAAAAATTACATATCCTATTAACACATTAAGCTCCTATAAATCACTTTTATTTTTACTTCACCTGCAATAAAATTTAACAACAAACACATACATGAGGTAAAAAAATTACCTGATTTCTTATCATATTTTTTCTTGTTGCTTTCTTTTTCTTTTGAATCTTTTTTTATTTTTTTAGAATCTCTTTCATACTTATCTTTATCATTAGCAATTGTTGTTTCAACTTCTATTTTATTATCATCCTACATAAATATTAATTGTAATTATATTTTAATAAAAAAAAATATAATAAAAAATAAACATACTTCATCACTATCACCAGCTACTTCGTCACAAACAATCATTTCAGATAATTCTAGTTCTTCTTTACCATCTTCAGAATTATTTTGACTATCTTTGGACTCAAGATGGTTGTCATCTTCATTATTTTTTTTGTCTTCATTTCCATTTTCATTTTTCATTGCTACTGAATTATCTTCAAATTCATTTTTATTTTTAAACTAAAACATTTAATATATTAGTTTAATTTACTTAAATATTTTATAAAATATGCATATACTAATTTTGTATCAAGCGCACATCTAAAACACCCAATACTTCAACAAATACTTAATTATAATTCTTTTAAGTTAATAGAATACTTAAGTACTTTATTAATTATAAATATTATAATATTTTGAATTTATATAAATCATTATATTTAATAATAGCTAAACTAGGTAATGACTTCAATAAATTAAAATTACATATACGTTTCAGGTTTAAATCTAACTAAAAATACAATAACACTAGTTAAATGTTACAAATGAAAAATATAGTATTTTTTAAATTTAAAACCAATATACATAACTCAGTGTAGAAAATTACCTCAATTTCGTTTTTAAGATCAGCTAAACCATTTGACTCTTTTGATTTGTTCTCATTTCCATTTGATATTTTTTTTTCCATTTTAATCTATTTATTAAATACAAAATAGAATAAAATAGGTAATTCAATACAATATATATATAAATATATATTTAACTAGCCGACCCATCATGGCTTTGCCTAAGATTAGTTGTTTATTTTGCCTTCGGATGATATGTAGAATTTTTTATTCAAATTTTATAGTTTAATGTGATTGGTAAGTAAATATAAAAATAGTTAGTGAAAATGAATTAAAATGTTTCTAACAGTATTAATGATAAATATATTTTTATAAAAATTAATACAGATACAAAAGAAATGCTAATTAATCTGTTGTTGATAAAAATTTTTTATAAAACTTCTGAGTATATAACGTTTTTTTGTTTAATCTCCTGTTGAAATCAAAATCATTAAATGATATGAGTCCCCAGTTACTATAATACAATCCTCCTTCCCTCACCCATTAGAGAGAAAAAAAATTAAAAAATGGACGATGTGGTGATATTTAAGAAAATATTTGGTACAATTTTTGGAAAAAATTAAATAGTATTGTCACAAAATGAGACAATAAAAAAGCCTGTTCTTTTGCTGATCTCGAAAAAAGGCCCCAAAAATTAGCTTTTTTTTAATTTTTCAAGAACTTTATAATTATTTTTTATTAACAATATTGGTACTAAAACTTTCAGCAGACTGTCAGGTATAACAATAAAAAATTTTAGTCAAATCTATTCAGTAGTTTTCTCAGTTATTATATGAATAGATTTTATATTAAATAATTTAACAATGAATTTATTGATTTACTTTAAAATAATTTATTAATTCAATTAACAATCTATAATCATACCTATGGATATATATTAATATATTGTGTTTTAAAATAGAAATCTAACATTACAATAGTACTGAATTTGAAAATGCGCATAAAGATTAATTTGCTATTTTTTAAAAAAGGTGTAATCAAACTGTATATAAAATATAATTCATATGTTTATTCTGAACAAAACTAAGAGAGCGTAAGTATGATTTTCAAATCAACAATATAACAGAGAAATTCACCTCTTTAATAGTATATCACAAAAAATGAATAACAAAAGTAACATATGGCTAACAAGTTATCTCTTATATTTATATTGGTCAATTTAAAGTAACAAAAAATATTAAACAATAGCATGGAATAGTTTTATGGGTAGTAAATATAATAGAAACAAGTAATAAATAAAGGTGTTACTCTTCAAATGACTATTTTTTAAGAAAATTACATTGACATAAACATAACTTTGAAATGTATAAATATTCACCCTAATTGATTATTCAAATTCTAAATACACTAATTTAAATAATGTATTGATATAATATGTATAATTTTATTATTCTAAAAAATCATGATACACTTTTTCACAGATAAAATATGAAAATAAATTTAGTTTGATTAAAATTATAAAATAATTTACTATTAGTTTACTACTAACATAGTTGAATAAGTCGAATTAAATAAAAAGCGTATAACCTAATGTTTTCAATAATTCAAGCAATGATCATTGACCAAAGTCTTTAAATAGTTTAATTTTATTAAAAGGTATGAGCAACAGCTGAAGTATAATAAAGAATAATCAAATCTTAAGTTCAAAATATATTTATTATTAATTTAAACATAAAAAAAAATATACAAGTAGTAAATAGATGTTAATTACAAACCTTTAATTCTTTTTCATCAGCATCCACAGAAGAAATTAGTTTTTCTAATTCATCATAAACTGAATCAGATTCCCTTGCACGATTAGTCTTTTCAGAGTCTGACGACATTATCTTTAAATTTATAAATAAGTCTTTAATATCCTTAAATAATTTTTAAATTGTTATAAATTGTTATAATTGTAGCTTACTATTTTGTAAAGTGTTATTACTTCTTTCAAATTATGCTGATTCGTTAGGATGGAAGCTAATAATTATTATTGTATTTGTACTCTAAGACACTTAAATTACAAAATTGAAAATATTAATACAGAAAACTATAACAAAACATACTTCATAATAATACACAATTTTTATTACAAATTCGCATTGTAAATTAACTCTTTATTTAGTTAAAAAGTAATAAAATGTAAAGTTAAATCTGTAGACACTATACGGTAAATGCTCGTAAAATTTTCTTATAAGTACATTTGTAAACTACGGGCTAATATCGACAAAATTATAAGCTATAAACATTGAAAGAATATTATGATGCAAAATCACCAATAGTTTAAAATTAAAACTTAAAAGAACCTAAAACTTAAAAAGTTAAAATTAGTGTTAAATACTAAATTGGTGAACGTTTAAAGCATAAATAGTGCATTGATAAGAACTGAGCAATATTAAATTGATAATAATCGCCATTTTGAAAGTATACAACACAATATTTTCTCCAAGAAATACATCTTTTCCATGACTTAATTATCTTTCATCTTTCAATTATTCATGTATTTCTACTATTAATATTTCTATTACTTAAAGTTTTATTTATTTAAATCTAGTCAATGTAGATAATCTATATTGGATTGAATGATTTAATTCATAAAATTGTAATAATCTGACCTATGTCGACTAGTTTTTGACCTCAGAAATAATGTAGATGGAGAACATAAAAATAATTATATTATTGTATATTTAAATAAAACTAAAATGTCGTTTTTATTATTTAATTGTTATTTCCCCAAAATATATATAATGACGGACATGACAAATATCTATTTTTAACACTGTTTACAATAATTACACCATAATATGCCACGGATGTTTTTAGATTCTAATGATTCTATTGCTATTATTTGCATCTAATAACTGGTGTAAATGTGTAATCACTAATTTATAAGAAATAAGAATTGACTGTTAAAATATTTTATTAAAATCAACAAATAAAAATTATAATTTAGATATTTTTTATTTATATTTAATTTATTTTTCTACGCATATTTCAACATTATGAATTATTATGTACTATAATAGTCTATAACATTAAATTGGAAGAGAACTCGTACAGTATGTTTTCATCATAGACATATAATATGTCTATGGTTTTCATCATACATATATTAATGGAAATAAATTCTATTAACTAACAAGAATTAAAGAGCGATCGGTTAGACCTAGGTGGTCGACACTCGACAGGTCCGACAAGCGGTAATTTCGTTTGGGCCACACGTTATATGCGCCGCAAATAGACTGTGGACATCATAGAGTGGACATAGTCGTATTATAGGTAGTGAATGGCTAGGGTAGGCAATTTCTACTTTCTAGGGGCGATTACTTTTTAGGGGTGCCAGAAAAATAAAAATAAAATAATATTATATTCGTACTTACCTTGTCTGGTAATTTCCAAATTATTTTTCATACATACCATGTTCATCATGATATATTATTTTTCTACGCTCATTATTTTAAATACTTTAAACATAAATGTGTTTGTCAACGATATCCGTTTATCCTGGGAATATTATGTTAAATAAAATTGACTACAAAGATTACGACCCAGAGACGCTAGGTATTCATAAATTGTCTACTCAATGACTAATAAACAGTATGTAAAAATGTGTAATTTTGTTTTTAACAATTAGGTAAATATTTTAAACAATTCAACACCACACACTACCTTGCTTTCAACTCCGGACTCCCCACTATTCAAGTAGGGAACACATTTTTCAATTTCAATAAACCATATTCCTACAAATTTTTCAGCAATATAGAATCCTCCTAGGCCAAGTATATCTCACTATCTCATCTCCATTTTGAACAATTTTTATCTTCATTAGGTCGCACGTTCATTACCAGCGGTGATTTCAACGCGAAGCACCTCCCATAATCCTATGATAGGGGTCATCAACTGAAAAGCCACGGTCCGGATACGGACCGAGAACACTTTTTTTTATGGACCCTTATCCACGGAATAGTTTTAAAATTTGTATTATATAAATAAATATTAAAATATAAAATTTATATTACACGATAAAAAAATTATTTAAGTAATTGAATAGACTATCATACTTCGAACTTCCCTCTCCAATGAAAATTGGCAGTAATTATTTTATTTCCAAAACCTGGTAAACCCCGGAACAATTCCATCCTCATATCATCTAATAAGCCTTCTCCCCTTTTTTGCTAAACTTTACGAAAAATGAATTACAAAACGCATAGGTATCGAAATTCATTAATGATAAAAAAGTAATCCCTCATTCCCAATTCGGCTTTTGTAATAAGCACTCTACTATCCACTAAATCCATCGCCTTACTGACGCTATTGCTTACTCTTCTGAAACTAAGCACTTCTGTTCTGCTTCTGCAGTTCTAAAAATTACATATTTTAACTATTATGAATAACAATGTTTATTATTTTGTTATAATTTTAAAATATTATTTTCAAGGACTTAAAAAGTTAAGACTTTTGCGTATACTATGAATTTTAGGTATTACACGGAATATTGAAATTTTCAAAATATTATAAGAATACATTTTATGATATTATTAATTTATACATTATACCAGTCAAACTATTTTACAGTGAGGTGGTAGTGACTCGAAAGTTAATTATTACAAATTACAAGTATTCATTTTTATACAATAATATAATATTCTATGAAGTATGAATGTAAACCATTAAAATAATTAAATATTAATAATATAATAAATGCAATGTTTTCGTCAAAAATTAACTTAAATCAATATTAGACAATCGTAATATCTATTATATACATTACTTTAATAGCATTATCAAAAACATGCAACATGCAATGAAATATAGGAAGGTATTTTTTTTTCTTTTTTATAGGAACATAACTCCTGCTAGGCTGATTTAATACGACGGTCTGTCAGTTTTTGTTAAGAACCGTTTTTCATTTTCAAATTTACGATACTTTTACCATATAATTCAAATTTAACACTTCCTAGTTCCTGAAGTCAATAATGCGATCCAATAAACACTAAATATAGTGGCATAGTGCAGAGCAGTAGGTACCCACTTCTCCACTTTTTTTATTATCAATTGACCACGATTGTACATTACTACATTGTTTAGTATTTACAAGTTACAATAGCTTTTCCCACAGATATGTATAATAATATTTTATTATGAATCTGTCATCTGCAGTATTAAAAAAATTGGCATATTGCCGCGTATTATAAATTTAATGAGAATATTGAATAATAAGATCTAGCACAGAATACTGATTTAGAAACTATATATGAGTCACTACTCACTAGGATAGTAGCATTGATTATAGAATTATAGGAATATAGGATCATAGAAATATAGAATAGAGATACTTACAATTCACAAACGATAATCGTCCGAGTCAGTTATCACACAAAGCAAACAGCTGAGCATGATTGATAAATACTTTATCAACATTCAACAATTCAACTTAATAATCTTAATATTTCTTCGCAATTTACATTAAATTATGATGGGTAAATGGGTAATTAATATTTAAAAACTACGAACTATAAGATATCTTACCACTTTAGTCGCTTAGTCTGTGTTAAAAACAACATACCATTAATAGTTTAATACTACAAAATTTATAATAAATTTTTTTGAAGTTTGACTTGTATTAATGGGTAGTAGATTTTGATTATTTATATAATTCTCATCTTAAAGTACAGATTCAATGAATTAAAATGAGTGGTAATTCATTTGATTATAATTCACTTTCGTTTGGACGAATAGCATCTATACCAGACAAATTAGACGTAAGATTTAATAGTTTATTACTTTATACGTTCTCTTAGTATTTTTTTTAGTTGTAGGACATACATATTGTACATATAATTGTTTGTCGTTATAAAAATATATTAATTTAGTTTTATGCCCATTACATGATGTCTTATTACCTGAATGTAAAATTATGTATTTTTAAATCACAAATAGAATATATTTTGTACATAATGTTAAGTACCTATTTTTTTTCTTTTAATATAATGATTTTTATTTATATTTTATTATTTTTAGGTTTTGGAATGTCGTGTTTGTGAAGATGTATTCACTCTTCAAGGAGACAAGGTTCCACGTTTACTCTATTGTGGACATACAATATGTCATTCATGTTTGTTACGTTTATACCAACAATGTTCTTCACTTCAATGTCCATTTGATAGACAAGCAACTCCTATAGGACCCTCAGGAGTTTGGGGTTTAAAAAAGAATTTTGCATTATTAGAATTGCTTGAACGTTTACAAAGAAACAACAAAGTAGAAATGAATATTAACTCATACTTAAATGCTGAAGCAATGGAAAAAGAAGAACAAGTAATATACTGTAACAAGCAAAAATATATTAACTTTAAATTTTTAATAATTTTTTGTAAATTGTTTAATTCATAGTTGCACATCATTTGTGATGAAAATGAAAATCATATAGCAGTTCTTTATTGCACTATATGTTGCACAAATTTATGTTTTTATTGTTCTGAACAAACTCATAGTACACGGACATTAGCTAAACACCGTCGAGTTCCATTATCAGAAAAACCACAAGAAAGACCTCGATGTCCATTACATCCATCTCATATAGCCGAGTTTACTTGCTTGCAAGATAATTGCCATCAACCATCACCTCCCTTAATGTGTTTTGTGTGTAAAGATTATGGGACACATAAAAATCATAAGGTATTAAGAAGATACCAAATCTGCATGTTTTATCTTTATCTTACTAACATACAACATAGCAATTAATTTGCGTTCAGGAATACCAATTGTATGTTGTTAACTTTAATATTAGTTTTTTTTAAGTATAATAAATTTATATTTAAAAGTTAATTGACCTAAAATCAAATTTAAAATTATAACTATATTAAATGTTACAATTTTAAAATGTTTATTATTTTTAAAATTTAAAAAAAATAACCTTTGATGCACTTTTATAGTATTTCAACTATTAAATTTGATAAATAGTCTATTCATTTTAATATTAGGACGCCACACCCGCATGTATTATCTTTCTCTTATAGACATACAACATACCAAATTTTCACTAAGCAGAATCTATTTTGTGTTGTTAGCTTTAATATTTGAGTAAATTTACCTATTATCAAACTTAAAGGTAAGAATTTTATCTAGGCCATCACATAGGCTTTTATTGATATTATAAATTTAAAATGAGTTATTAGAATTTTAAAGTTTTAATATTTTACATAGCTATAGCTTAAATTTTAGTTTAAAATTAGAATATCAATAAAAGCCCTTGATGTGGCCTAGATAAAATTCTTACCTCTAAGTTTAATTATAGGTAAATTTACTTTAATACTAAAGCTAATAACTTAAAATAGATTCTGCTGAACAAAAACTTACTATGTTGTATGTATGTAAGACAAAAATAACATGTGTGTGGCATTTTCTTAAAGTTAATAAAAATAAAAATTGGTTCTGCTGAATGCAAATTTAATATGCTATACATTTGTAAATTGGATACAACACATACGATTTTGTCTTCCTTTTAAGAAATGTATGATGTTTGATCAAATATTAATTCTTATGCTTTTATATATGTACATCTTATACATATTTCAGCATACCTTAGTAGAAACTGAAGCAGAAAATATACGATCAAAAGTAAAAAGTGCTGGACCTTTGATGCGTAATTTAATGGAAGAAATGAATGACACTATTCAAAGATTAGGTAAGCGCCTGTAATATTGTTCATATTAGTAACAAAGAACTATTTAAACAAATTGACTTCAAATTTGTAATAAATAAGAATCGTTGCAATATTAATCATTATAATTTTAATCAATTTAAATTATTTGTTATTAATATTATAAATAATACAATTTTTCAGATCAAGTAATGTTACGTTTAGAAGGTTTAGATTCAAATGGCTTAGTTGATGAAGAAAGTAATCCTGGTACGTGTTCTTTAGCTCGTGCTAGAGTTCAATTATATTTCCAACATTTACGCGAAACATTACAAGTACAAGAAGCTGCTGCCTTAAGTGCTGTTGATACACATGTAAGAGAAAGATTAGGCTCACTGAGAAGCTTGCAAGAAGATTTAGCATCATCGTTATCACAAGTGGCTGTTATATGTGTGCAATGTGAGCAAGCTGTTCGGCAGGATGATTTCCGTGTAATATCTGCTAGTGCAGATATTAATCAGGCTCTAAATGTAATTGAAAAACATAAACAGATGTTTACTGAACTTGGTCCAGAACAATTACAACCTGATCCCAGTATACCTATAACTTTTACAAAAGTGAGTACTTAAAACTTATAATTTATAATTTCAATTAATTGTTTAATCGTTGTAGGATAATAGAGTGCATATTGGACCAAAAATGGAAATTCGTGTTGTAACTTTAGGATTAGATGGAGCAGGAAAAACTAGTGTACTTTTTAAATTGAAACAAAATGAATTTATGACTATGATTCCCACTCTTGGATTTAATGTAGAAACAGTTGATTATAAAAATATGAAGTTTACAATATGGGATGTCGGTGGACAACCTAAATTGAGACCATTGTGGAAACATTACTATCTCAATACACAGGTTCGATTTATTAAGATACAATTTTATTTTTAAATTAATAAGTTATAATACATCATACAACATCAATAATGATGCTATCAAAAATGTTTTGCATAATTAAATATAAAATATACATTGACTCCAGAGTATTGACTTGTAAATATTCTAATATCAGTAACTGTGTTGTTTAGGCAGTTGTTTTTGTAATTGACTCCAGTGACCAACAAAGATTATTAGAATCATCTAACGAGTTATCTAAGCTGATGACAGAAAAAGAATTGAAAGATGCTGCATTATTAATTTTAGCCAACAAACAAGTATGATATTATTTTTCTTCAAATTAATTTATTAATTATAAAACTTTTTTGTTCTGCTTTTTTAAGGATATTCATGGATGTGTTACTATTGAAACTATTACAGAATTATTTGGCTTGTATAAATTGTGCTGTGGGCGTAGTTGGCATATACAAGCTTGTGACGCACAAAGTGGTGCTGGTCTTCATGATGGACTTGATTGGCTTGCTAGACAACTGGTTGCTTCTGGTGTCCATGATCTCAACTTATAACATGATGTTTAAAAAATATATTTCTAAAATCATATGATTTGCTTTAAATTACATACATCAACTATTTATTCTCCTTAGTTTTTAATACAAGTATTTAAATTATACCTGAAAATATGTTTTATTTTTTGTTGAGATTGTTCCTATACTTTTCAATTTTTAATGTTATTGTTATTTTGTCTTTCCATTGATTTGAGAATATCGTGCTGAAAATTATTTAAAAATATTCTTCTGAATATTATTGCCATGTAAGTTGAATACTATTTGAAACCAAAAAACTACTTACTGTATACTTAATATAAGAGAGAAAAGTATCATACATAATAGAAACCATGTTTGTAAATAGAAGTCTATATTTTGGATCTAAAAATTTGAAATTAATGTATTGTGTTGGAACAAAAACAGCACAGTCAACCTAAAAGTATCCAATAATTATACAATTAATTTATACTAATAGAAATTTAAGAAAGATATTTATTAATTATAAACAAAAGTTATTTTATAAGTAAATAACAATTCAAATTTTAAAAGTAATTATTTTAATTATAAATTTTAAAAGTTTTAATTACTATTTACTAATAGTTGGTAAATAAATGTTTGACTAATTTATTGTGTAAAAAAAAATCATTGGCACTTATTTTTACTATGGGACTACAATGTTAACAACTATTTTAGTACTATATTTGAATGTTAGCCAAATAAGTAGTGTAACTTAAATTAACATAAAAAACATATGCATTTCTAAATAAAAACATTCAACATAATATTATTTATACTTATTTTTAATCAATAATATGTTATGATAATATTTATTTATATTTTAAATAAAGTATAATTTTTTAATTAGAATGCATTTCTTGTTATAGTATTGATAGTACTTATATCTAATGGTTATAGAAATTATTAACAAAATTTATCTTCAAACAGTTTGCACAAAACAAAATATAATTATTTCCATTAAATGTTATCCCATTAATAATTTAATTTATTATTGATCGGAAACCTTTCTAGAATAATATATTATTTTGAAATCAATGTAGGGGACTTAATAAATTTAAATTTATATTCACTGTGACTAGGCAACAATTGTAGCTTACCAAAAATATCATTGCACATTTGTCTTTAAATTCTTCATTGATTTTGTCCAAAGTCTTGTGTTCCAGGAAACCAAGCCCATAGATGAACAAGGCGATTATAAGTGGTGTGCACAACGTTTGATCGATGAATAACTTTTTGGATATCGTAAGTAGGTCCCTGGATGGATATCGGTTGTCCAGTGATCGATAAAAGATATGCTGTACCGATCCCAGAATGCTACCTATCACAGCAATTCGCGCTAAACACGTTCGGAAGCATATCAACATAAACGGTACACTCATTATTCATTAAAATCTCTTCGAAAACACCTAATTACAAATTGTTATCAGCTTATAAAGATGAAGGGAGAAAAGAACTTATTCACTTAATAATTTAGATTTTCCAACATTTTTACGATTTTTAAGAATTTCTGAGGAAATAAAAATCCTTAGAAATCTGCCCCAACCAGAAAAAGAAATATGCACGACAAACAATGAAGAATGTAAATTTCAGCTATACTAATACTATTATTATATTTCTTGCATATTATATAGATAATTAATGTGTAGCTATAAGATATAATGTTGGTAAAAAATGCTATTGAATCATTTTTAATTTGTACAGATTTCTTAAATTATTTGTCTGTTTTTTTTTTTAAATTGTAGTACTTAATTACTTTTGTCTTAATATGATAATAGACAATACATGATATGCTTTTATTCAAATTTTAGCTTTAGTTGTAACTTAATTTATATATCTAACTATTATTTACTATTACTAAGGGTTTTTTTCTATTGCAGGTCACAGGCATAAGCACCGAATTAACGGGGGGAGGGGGGCAATTACTGGCGTACTTTGATTTTAAGGGGAGCATCGCCCCCGTACTTCAATTATAACAAAGGTAAAACCATAGACATAATAAGATATCTTATTATGTCTATGGGTAAAACATAAAAAAGTATAATGCTTTTGTGTAAGTATCTTTGGACTTATGCAAGATTAAAAATATGTTTATCAATAAGTGCTCGACAAGAAAAAATACTTTTGGATTAAAATGATTATAATTTTAGATAATATTTTTGTAAATAAAATTTAATATAATAAATTTAATTAAAAAAACATTATATTTTCATAAACATTTTTTTTTTAAGTTTTAACTGAAGCCAATTAAGAGGATCGAGATTTCCTTTACAGTGGTTTAAGTTTTTTATTTAACCCCATGCTAATAATACCTATCTAAAAGTCAGTGCCCTGCAACTCGCAGGGCTTTTTTCCTAGATCCATATGAAATAACCAACAATAATTTTGCTAGCCCTCCTCCCTCCAAAATATTGACAATAATTTTCGATCATAGGTATGCATAGGTACTTGCCGGTTCTTGACCAGTCGTAACCCTCGGACAACCCGTGATAACGTTCTACGCTCTGTTGCGCGACGTCACCAATACACATCATTGCAGATCCGCTGAACGTATTGACGGAGAAGTGATATTTGTTAAACACGTACACCGCCGTCCGTGTCATTACCGTCCAAATTTTCCTCCCCGTAGACATTATTATGAATGTAATATTAGTTTATTTAAAATATTTTATACCGGGAAGTGTGTTCGGTTGAAAAAACGACAGGAGACAAAATGAAAAATGTTCCGATCTACACGCGAATTTTGGTTTATCGACTATCGATGAATTAATAGTATATACTGTGGTCCGCAGTAGTAGGTATACTACAAGGTTTATTATTTTTAAGTAGTTTTTCATTTTGTATGTACATTATTAAACAATCTTGGCTAAATGCCGGTAATTTTGAATAATAAAATAGTAAATACCACGTAGATATAAAAACCTCTGCAGCATATTGAAATCGACGTGTTGTTCTATATGTTAATTGTCATACCTTTGAAGCTTTGTGTTTGATCACGGTTTTTTAACTTCGAACATATAGGTAGCCAACGAAAAATAAAAAATGAACACACGTCTAATTTTAAAACTACAATTTATTTTGTTGGTTAATCGTTAAAACTATTATAGGAAAATAGGCAATAGGTACTAAGTATAGTAGTAGGTAAGTAGGTACTTGCAAACAATTTTTTCATAGTTTTCTTGTTATAATTTGTAATTTATTTTGGGATTAATCATTTTTTTTTTAATATGTAAGTTATAGTCCACTAATTTCAATTAATAGTAATTAGTTATTGTGTATATAATAATTATAATATATAAGTCACTAAATAGAAATAGGTCTAAGCATATGCACAAAATGTGTACCTATTTACAGTTTTAGAAGGGGAAGTGCTGGAAAAATCAAAAATCAAATTATAATACAAATGTACAATCATAATTTAAGACGTTATACATATATGGTATAAGTGTATAACGGGAGAATAATTGAATTTCGGAAAAGACAACAAATGATTTTTTAAAGACTAGGTACTATATTGTACTCGTTTAGGTACCTAACTACATAAGGTCCCTTATTATAAATAATTATACCCATCAATTGAGACGTAAATATAAAAATTTATTCTTTCTTTATTGTAATATTTAGGTACTTTTTAATAATGATCTAGTATTCTAGTATAAAATCAATGAAAATCAAACATTTAAAAAATAATTACAATATATATCTCTAGTTGTTTCATAATGTAGTGTGGGTAGTTGTAAAAAATTAAATTATTAGTTTGTTCTAATAAATAGGTCATAAATCGTATATTATAGTGATAAATTTACAATTTTATTATATAGAATATAAGTAATCTTTTTACATTTTGTTTACAAGTAATGAGTTACTTAATAGTATTTAATATTGTTACGTATACATATACAGTAGATTATAAAGGTATACATCAGAGTCATCAGACAGCTGATGACTAATGTCTATATTAATAATTGTTGTTTATATTTAATACATATTAAATAATGAATAATGACATGATGATTAAATTACCTACCTGCTATTATTGATTTTATGCTTTTATATAAATATATAATTGTTCAATAAAATAGTTGACAATATTTACTATTTTAAATTCATGTATCTTTATTTGATTTGAAATAATTTTATTTTTATATTTACTCATTACTCATACGGCTATAGACATACTACTATTATGATTATACTATGTTTATAATCAATTTATTTTCTAAATAACTATTTATTATCAATGATATTACGATACTTACTAATGACATACTTTTATTTCTTTTTTTTATTTATAAAAAATTTTAAAATCTGTACTTAACTATAGCAATAAGTAAATTTGATTTATATAATATATAAGCAATTACATACAAGATTAAAATTACACGAATATCATCGTGTTGAGGAAAAAACCCATTGGTTCAACTCTAATTACAATTTTTATTTTTAAGACATTTCTATTATTTCTAACTAGTTGCTATTTATTTAGGTCTGTGGATGTATTTTATTTACAAACAACATATACGTGGAGGTAAATATTTTATTATTTTTATTTTTCTTACTTATATAAATAGTGTCATTAAGCTTAAATTAGAATGTTAATACTCATAATTGATTTTAGTTTTAAATGTAGGCAATAGGGTAGTTTTTGATATTATGTTCTTTTGGGGGAGAAAAACATTTTGCTTTAAGTATTAATATATCTCACGTTTTATCCGTTAAATATTCATGATTATATGAGAAATAATTTTGTGGGCTAAATAATCAATAATTCATCCCTATTAAAATAATTTATAATACATTTTTTATGTTTTGATAAATATTATGGTAAGTGATAGTAATGGCTGATAACTATTAGAATAATTACTTTTACTACCTACATATTTACACATTGGACTGGAAAGGGACAGCCTTGGGCCCATCCAGATTTCCTGCACTTCCTATTTAAATTACCACTGAACTTACAGTTCTTTTAGCAAATTATAGATACTGCACAGACATGTAAATTGTATTAAGCTATGTTATAAGGGACGTATATCGATTTCACCGAAATGATCTTTTTTTTTCTGTAAGAAATCTATCGATTGTGTGGCATATTAACTCCGCCAAGTTGTTTTACATATTGATTTCGCTGATTATTGACTCCACTAAACTTTTTTACAAATAGATTCCGCTGGCTATCAATTCACTGAATATTTGTAAATTATTTACTTTAATAATAGCAAAATGTAAAATGCTTACATATACATTTATGTTAATATTTTATTAGATGTAAGTACATTGGTACTATTTGAAATAAAAAAATAAAAAAAAATATATATAACAACAATTTTTGACGATTATTCAAATAAGAAAATTAACTATAAAACCACTATTTAAAAAAAATAAATCAACTTCAATTTGTACATAGTTGTTTTTTTCTCCATAATATGTTTACTATATTTTTCGTTGTATAGACGATAATAAATTATTTTTTGAAATTTTTTTATTTACTATAATCTATTCTGTTAATTAAAAAATATAATTTATATAACCAACATAAACAAAAATTCTGCGGAATTAATATAGACAAATATCAGGTGGAATTGATATTAAAACGGCGGAATCGATAAAACCCCTGTTAAAGGCTTCAAAAATAGTGTCAGTTGTCAGTTGATCGTTACCTATTATAATATTAAAGATTAGAATATGCGCTTTTTTTATAGAGCACTACCTGCTACAATAAATTTTAATATAATATATATTGGTAAAAGTATTTTTCCTCTCTTATCACTATTTTATTTTTGATTGCATGTATAATATTTTTTCTGATCATTTTTTATAATATTGTACCTTAGACATTTACTTAATTAATATTTACAGTTTTATTTCATGTTAGAGTATTTGTATAACTTCCATAATCTACTTCTAAACATTCCAAACATGGGTAATTAATTTAATTTACGTTTACTGTTGAAGTTATTCTATATTATGCAACACACATAGGTACACGTATACTATCATAGTATCATACCTATGTTGGTACATCATGATTCACGGTTAAAATTCTACGCACCATCTGTTGTATGCAAATAGCATTACCAACATAAAACAAACAATTACGTTTTACCAAATAATGAAATACCTTTAATTGTTCTATAATATTGTCCTTTCAAGTTCCAACCTGTTGTTATTTATTACTAAATTGTATCTATTGTTTTTATACATACATATACCTATTTGTTTACAAAATTATCAAAAAATTGTAGTATTTAAATGATATAGATATTAGATATCATACGAAAATTGCATATAGTTTTAGTTTTTTAAAAGCTCTATATTCACTTCCCCGTTTTTCATTTTAAACGGGGAAGTGAATACACATACCTGTCGATTAAATGGGACGATTTTAAATTTAAAAAATTTTAAATAAAAAAAAAAAAAAAAAAAAAAAAACAATTTATTATAAGCACCGACACATTGTCATTCGTTTAAATATTATAATAATTGGTATTAAATTGTTGTTCTATTTATATTATATGCATATTATTTTAAGTAAATACATTAATATGTTATTTATTTTTTTGTGGCGAATTTAGGGGGGGGGGGTGCTTGGGAGCTGAAGCACCCACCGTTTCGCGTATTTTTATTAAAAATTAGTAATTACTAATAATTCGCCGAGTGGCAAATTTTTGGTACAGGCTACCAGAACGCGCGCCCCGCACCGAGGAGTTGCTAACACCGGTCGGCGACCACGCACAAATTGTACATAATAAGTAATTTAGGACTATTATTATTAACAAAATAGCATTCACCATAAAAAAATTCTAGATCCACCACTGTTTATTTTATATATTATCTTTTATTTTATTAGATAATTTACGTTTATGTAGGTATAATACTATAGTCTATAATAGCATAACCCATATGCCGTACCTTTTTATTTATGCAATACCTATTACCTTTACCTACACATTAGAAAGAATTAATAATACTTTATAGTAAGGTAAATAGGCATTAAGTGTTTATTTAGTATACATTATGCCAGCTAAAGTTGCAAAGACTTCACATCATTAGTTGTATAATTTTTTTTTAAATCACTTATGAATATAGTTGAGTATTTTACATATCAGATAATTTTTATTATTTCATAATTTAGTTGAATATTTTATCATTAAAAGCACGTAAAAATATTTATTATATCAATAATTACTTATAAATTAAACTTGTATAGCCAACTGTACTCACTAGCGTAGCCAGAGTTTTTGAACGGGAGGAGGAGAGAGGATTTTAGGCTTAGGTATGTATCAAGGATGGACAACTCAAAATCGTAGTGGGTCAGAACTTGGAAAGCAAAAAAAAGTTGTTTGAAATATTGAAAATGATTTTGTTTATAATGTAAAAGTTTTTTAACTTCATTACATTAACCGCATAATCTTCTTGTGAAAAAAAAAATCGTTAATTTAATTTCAAATATTTTTTTTGTAAACGATTATTGCACATATTCACAGCACTCACAATTCATGTCTCATTAAATACCGTTTATTTGAAAGTGCGTAATTGTAGCAGTTCAATCAATTTGTTGTAGTTGTCACTGCTATGGTCACTAGTAAGTAGTCTGCAGTAGAATCGTATACAGTAGTCAGTAATACTAATATTAAATTATTTATAGTTACTAGTGTTACTACAATATAGCGTACATAAATATAGCCTATTATATAGATATAATATATAGTAAACATAGTCACAATATATATTATAGTCATATAATATGTTTATTATGGCTTCGTAC